TTTTTTAAAACCTAATTATATTCCTTTCATAAGTGTAAAATATAAAGATTACGTAATTATCTATTGATTGATTTAAAGTTAGCATATTTTTGTTTGCGGTTTCTATAAAATATATTTGAATTTCCAAGACCATCGAAAATCAATCGGAAAAATGCATGCTAATTAAGTAGTCATTTTTCACCGAGCACGCCTTTTACAGGAGATTGAAAAAAGTGCATTTTAAAGCCGACATCCTGCCGAGTCCAAAATGTTATAAGAGTATGCCTTACGATAATCAGTATCACAACCGCGACTTAGTAATCCTTCCTAGTCGAAAACGTATTTCAGAATTTCAGCCAACATTTCATGAGATAGGTCACTCACTGTACATCGTCGGATGTGACGGCCGAACTGTCGCTGTGGCTTTCGACGCTATGGCATTAGTTTCATCTTTCTGTCTTTACTTCTAAGGTCCATTCTCCACTGCGGAAAGTGTAAAAGCTTTCAAAATTATGCGAGATCCGTAGCCAGTTACTGTACTTGTATCGCTACTATCCCCCTGAAAAATGTAGTGTCAAATGATGCTTTAGGATGTCATATTTTGCCGAAATGCCATTCATGATGCAAATGGCACTCAAATTTTCCACTACACGAAAACTTGTATCTAAATTATCCCTAAAGTCGATTTAGAGGAAAGGTTTTGGACGCCCCTTTACATGCAAATGACATATGCGCTTTCTTTGCGTTAGAAAAACGCTATGGTGAATTGTCAAAACTTATAAGAGGTAATGTGTTGCCCCGTCGTGAAAATGTCCATGCTACACTCAAAAGGAAAATTATCATTATCTGAAAAAATTATTTGGAAAAACGAATGGTAAAAAGTCATTAAATTGTCAAATGGTGAGCAAGCAGCTGGAGGAATTTACTAATCTTCTGTACTTCCAATGACTTCTTAATATAATTCGCAAACAATTGTCAGTTCATACCAGGTTTGGGAAAAATAATGTCAGATACGATGTCGTAAGCAGCAAAAGGAGGAATGTAGTGCGGAAATATGCTTTTAAACAAACGCATTGAAGACCGAATAGTACTGTACTGAACAGTGTCCATGTGCCAAGCAATATAAGGAATTAATATTATGGGGATAGGGCAGCTTGGGCGAGTAAATAAGGCGTTTGCTGACGTTGAACCATCCCACGCATCGCATTTACCAGTATGTCTGTGCGAGCCGATGCTTCGAGAATGAGTCAGTATTTACAAGCACACGCGAAATGTAACGAGGGACATAACGAACATGCGTCTTTATGCATATAAAGTCTCATCCACTATGGAAGTGTTAATAACAACAACATGGCTAATAGCCCAAAAGCGACTGCATTAAATGTTCTAGAAAGATCCGACAAACTGAGTATTTGTGTTTCAAAAGGTTGGAAAGAGTAGTAAGTGGCATTTTCGGGAAACCCTAACTATTAGAAAATTCGATTGTTTTAAATTCACGAGCAGGCTAGAGTACATGCTCGAAGGACATCATTTCTAAAATCTCTGCGTTATAATTATTTAATTTAAATTGTTTAAATAGCTCATGACACGAATCAGAGAACAGTCTTTTAATACCACCAAGGTTCCACAAAAGCAATCATTTTGAAGGCAATGCGGACGTGGGAAAACGTCACCTGCCTCAAATTTGTAGAACGGGAACCCCAACATCAGTCCTACATCATCTTCACAATTAAGGCATGTGGGTGAGTGTTTTGTCCC